TCTGTGTGGGAGTCAGTCTGTGTGGGAGTCAGTCTGTGGGAGGTCAGTCTGTGTGGGAGTCAGTCTGTGTGGGAGTCAGTCTGTGGGAGGTCAGTCTGTGTGGGAGTCAGTCTGTGGGAGGTCAGTCTGTGTGGGAGTCAGTCTGTGTGGGAGTCAGTCTGTGGGAGGTCAGTATGTGGGGGAGTCAGTCTGTGGGAGGAGTCGGTCTGTGAGGGAGTCAGTCTGTTGGGGAGTCAGTCTGTGGGGGAGTCAGTTTGTGGGAGGAGTCAGTCAGTGGAGGAGTCAGTCTGTGGGAGGTCAGTCAGTTCTAATTGGAGGACCACGGATTGGAGGGCGTGTCTAAGCTCCGTTTGGAGCTTTGTGACCTCCCTCAGGTAGGAGGAGTCCCGCAGGGCGTTGGATCACAGGAGGTCTCAGTGACTAGCGGTTAGCTTGCCGGCCCCGTGACGTCTCGCTGCGTCTCTCTGAGTTTTAACTTTCCCTCTGTGCTGTGACCTTTAACCTTTAACCTGCGACGGTCTTCCTCCACAGAGGTCTTTAAGAAGCTCGACACTAAAGGCAGCGGTTTCATTGAGCTCGACTTCCAGCAGGTGAGACGTATAACGCGGTGACGTGTATGTGTCAGTGTGAGCGCAGAGGCTGACGACGACCATGTCTTCTTCTTCTTGCAGTGGTTAAACTTCGCCATGATCTGAGCCGCAGCTTCAGTGGTTACTGCAGCACGCCTTCTTCCCCGTTTGCTGGCCGCCTCACTTCCTGTCACCGCTCCTGTTTTATATGCATGGTTGAGTTTCTACACTAACTTTCTGACATGTAAAGTCAATAAATTCTCCAAACCTGGAAACTGTGTTTGTGTTTTACTAATGATCAACCTGTAACTGGCCACGCCCCCGTGCGTCGGTGCTTCACAGTGAAAATGGTGAAGCTGCTCCTGAACAGACGCCTGCCGTGAACATTTCACTTTGTGTGGCGTTTCCTGAGGCTGACGCAGGCCAGAGCTCAGTTTCATTTCATGATTAGATCAGCAGCTGTGAGAGGTCAACATCTGGCTGCAGGTGAGTCGGCTTCTCCTCACACTCACAGATCGAGCAGGTGACCCGTGACCCGCTCCACAACAAAAGCATCCGAGTCAGAAAGTGTCTGAGCTCGTCATAGGTCAAAGTCTGCGTCACTACGAGAGGCAGCAGGTGGAGTGTCTGGACCAATATTTGAGCTTCCTGATGATGTCACAGCGACGGTCTGAAACATGAAAACAGATACACGCTTTGGTGCACAGGTGTCACAAAAACAGCAAAGCTTAACAGACTTACGTCCCGAGGCGCCTAACAAGTGCTCCACAGCACGGCCATGAAGCAGCATACTGCAGCCTGATTGGTTGCTAAAAGCAGCGATCGATTAGTGATTGATTGGTGATCTTCTCAGATCCTTGTGTTCTTCCTGCAGGGTCACGTGTATGTGACATCATCACTGCAGATCAATAATTCAGAGAAGCATCAGCCTAGTGCAAACACAGCCACTTCCTGTTAGAATGACCGATCACGTGACACACGCGCGCGCACACACGCACACTTGCGACGTAGCCCCGCCTCTACGCCGGGCGGGGCGCGGTGCTGCAGCTCAGCATCCTCGGCAGCATCCAGGACCCGGTGCAGACCACATCCCGGAGCAGGACACGGAGGAGCTCCACACGGGTGCAGGTGAGCCTGGAGCTGGGACCGAACCGGGCTGAGCCGATCCCTGTCGGTCCCTCTGTTTTTTCCGTTTCCGGTTTGATCAGCTGATTTCTCCGTTTTTGCGCTGATTCATGCAAAATGATTACATCATTGCGTCGCTGGACCAATCAGAAGCCTCAAAGCTGCGTGTAGATTCAGACAGAAACGAGAACAAAATCAGCTGTTTACCGTTAATGACGTCACGGCTCGGTCACGAACCGCAGAAATATTATGACGCGATCACAATTAACGGGGTTGATGCAGAAAGCCCTCAGCCCAAAGGCATGACGGGAAAACGTGTTCCTCAGCTGAGTTGGGACAAACCATCCGGTCCTCTGATCGATCAGCTGTGATGAGTCCGCAGCTCTTTGAACTCACACAGGTGAGGACACACCTGTGTGAGCTGTGTCGTCCTTACACGATTTTTGTGGTGTTCTATCGCAGCGTACTGATTGATTGATTGATTGATTGATTGTTGTCTGAAACAAGAGCAGGTGTGCTGATGGTCCTGGCTCAGTGCTAAGTGGCTTCTGCTGTGAAGCTTCAGTTCAGTCAGTTTCATGTTTTATTTATCCGTGATCAGCCGCCTCAAAGTCCTTTGTACTGTAAGGTAAAGACAACAATACAGAGAAAAACCCAACAGTCATATGAGCAGCACTTTGGTGACAGTGGGAAGGAAAAACTCCCTTTTGACAGGAAGAAACCTCCGGCAGAACCAGGCTCAGGGAGGGGCGGGGCCATCTTTAAAGTGTAGGAGAGGGAAACGGAAGTGTTTACCTGATGAAGGTCACCTGGGGTTTGTTTACAGGGTCAGTAGAAAAATACCAGCATCAGTTTTACTTCCTATCAGACAGACTCAGGTACAAACCTGCTTTCCTCTGCTCTGATTGGCTGCTCAGAGGTCTGACGTGTTCTGGCTCAGGATGTTTACAGGTGTGTCCGAGCGTATCCAGATGGACCGGGCCCGAGCTGAGGGTCTGGGCTCGGTCCAGCAGGCCGTGCGCTACCTGAACCAGGATTTCGAGGCCCTGGGGCAGGACTGCCTGCAGAACAGAACCCTGTTCGAGGACCCGATGTTCCCCGCAGAACCCGGCTCGCTCGGCTTCAAGGAGCTCGCCCCGTTCACGGCCAAAACCAGAGGAGTGGAGTGGAAGAGGCCGACGGTGAGCCTCCACACACACGCACACACACAGACAGACAGACACACACACACGCGCTCACTCATACCTGCATCTGATTGGCTGTTCCAGGAACTGACACGAAACCCTCAGTTCATTGTGGGCGGAGCCACCAGGACCGACATCTGTCAGGGCGCTCTGGGTAAGTCATGTGACCTCTCACAGGTAACTACTGCTGGTTATCTGGCGGTTATTAAGCAGTTGTCAGAGAAGCTTTGCGACAGTCATGGAGGCAGTTATCAGGCAGTTATCAGGCAGTTATCAGGTAGTTATCAGGTAGTTATCAGGCAGTTATCAGGCAGTTATCAGG